CTCACTCACTCACCTTAAGACAGAACAGACAGAAATCACAGAACAGTGGGCAGTGTGACAGCCTGTGTACAGGTTTCCAGAAACCCAGAGTTCTATTCCAGGACAGGTCTCTCCTGGCACCAAATGTGCAGTTTACTGAACACCAAGCAACTCTCCAAAACAAACATATTGTCTAACATTTGAATTTTGACCCCACTTTGCTCAGCATAGACCCTGATTCAGGGAACAGTCTCACAACATTGTCCTTACTGCTGACACCAATCAAAAACTTCATAGGTATCTATGCTTCTGAGCTACCGTTTAATAATTAGAAACTCCCATAACCTCCCTCAAGTTTAGTAATGTAATAGAGCTACTCACAGAACTCAGCAAAATATTTCAGTTCTGTTTACTAGTTTATTATTAAAGATACAACACGACGATGCAGTGGCTCACACCCATAATACCAGCACCTTGGGAGGCCGAGGCAGGTGGATCACCAGGTCACAAGTTCAAGACCAGCCAGGCCAAGATGATAAAACGCTGTTTCTACTAAAAATACAAAAATTTGCCAGGAGCAGTGGCAGGCACCTGGAATCCCAGCTACTCTGTGGGTAACACCCCCCATGGGCACTGAGGAAGAACTGTGCAGACCCCAGGCACAACTAGTGCCTGAAGAATGTCATAGTTTATAGTGTTATGGCTCAGCTGTTTCCTTTATATAATCCTTCATATATAATCATATATTAGTTTACAGAATTCGTGCTTGAAGTGTAGCTTACTGCTTAACATATATCTAGCATAGTTGGTTCTATATAATCTTTCTGTATAATCATATAGGTATTGTAGTCGGAGCTGTACTGACACATTTAGTGGTGATTTATATAATCCTTCTATATAACCATATAGTAGTTTGTAACAGAAGGAATGCCTAGAGCAGTCACAGAACAGAAGCAGTACATGGGAAAACAGCCAGACCAGGATGAGAACCAAAGATCCAGGCAGTGGCGTCCCTGCCTGAAAGGGCATACGCTATATGGCAGGCATGGAGCAAGTGCCTCTCCTCTTGATAAAGGAGTTGTAGTACCTTGCATTCAGTTCCTGTGGAAAGTAGGCCTCAGGCCTAAGATCCTGGAAGTAACCGAGGGAGAAGAACCCCTCTGATGTTACCAGTCACAGTGGCTGTACACCCTGTCAGTCTTTTCTCACTTCTGTGCTAGCTCAAAGAATCTTCCCATAAACATATTAAGAGACGCGCACAAGTCTGTCAGCTCCCACTGCGTTAAGCTTACAGTATCCTTCTATTAGAAATCCTTTGAAGTTTCCAGCCCCCAGATAAGAAGCATTGTACATGACACCTATTACACACGGCCCACCTCCTTGCCTTGGTGACCTAATAGGGGTGGACCCCTTTTCTGTACACGACCCTCTACTACTGCACACGGCACAGGCCCCTGCTGCGCATGGCCCACCTCTCTGCCCAGGTGACATAATGGGTGGTCCCCTCACTGATAACTGATGTGATTATGTATGCCCTATTACTAAGCCTGTAGATGATGACCTCACTCACAACCCTGACCCCGCTTGTACCTAATAAATACAGATGCTCTTGGGCATTTGGGGGCTGCCACTGATCTCTACTCACAGGTGGTGTGGCCCCCCCGAAGTCCAGGTGCTCTTCACCAGTTCTTCAGTGTCCTGTCTCTTTACTTCTTGGATCCTGCACCTCAACACAGCATAAAGGAAACCTCACGACCCTGTGGGGCCACCACAGCCCTACACTACTCGGGAGGCTGAGGCAGGAGGATCACTTGAACCCAGGAAGCAGAGGTTGCAGTGATCCAAGATCATGCCATTGCACTCCAGCCTGGGTGAGACAGCAAGACTCCATCTCCAAAAAAAAAAGAAAGTCAAACAGAAGAAATGTATAGGCCCAAGAAAAGAGGTGGGGAAAGATGAAGCACATAGATAAGCCTGGTAAAGAGCTATGATTAATAGAATTCTTCATCCTTTGTGTTCACCACAGTTTATGAAAGGAAACATCCTTTCCACTATAACTTAAGACAGTGCTCTATTTTCTCACCTATCTGATCTCCAGACATAGGTGCTGCACATTTTATTTTCTTATTAAAAAAAAAAAGAGTTAAATCTTTCTTCAGTGTTCAAAATAAAATACGTCTTAATCAGGCTTTACTTAAGTTTCTTTTCCCCACAGCCTCTTGAACTTTCAGCTACCCTCAGTCTGAGTCAACACACAACCCTATTTTATGTCCCTCCTAAGAACATTCTGACTTCAGGGTAAAACATTCTCTAATCTAAAATCTGATTTTATCACCTTCCTTTTGCCATTCCCGTCCTACCTTCTTTCTAATCTTGTTTGATCCTTTCCATTTAAAAAAGTCCTTGTCGAAGGATTGCAGTAACAGTTGGTACTTTTTCCTACTACAATGCTTTCTTGGAATTCAAACATTTTTACATGAATGTTTTATTTTATAAAATCTAGAAACTGCCTCAAAACAGTAACAACTTCATCTTCAGTATGACCTTTCCAGTATTTTTACATCTTAACCTTAACTTCATCTGCCTGTGGGTCTCCAGCTTTCCAGGGTTCTGTAGCTTCTCTTAGGATAAAGGCTTTTTCCATGGCTGAAGTGAGCAGGCTGGGATATCTATAGAGATGACTCCCCAGAGAAAACTAGCTGGGCCTGTAATAACTTCCTTGTGCAGGCTCAATATTAACCTTAGTTGGGCTTAAGCTTTAATCTCCATGTCTGAGTTATTCGCTTAGTGTTTTAATCTAAGCATATAAAAAATCCAGCAAAATTACCAAAACAGTGTTCATATATATACACACATATACATATATACTAAGGTGCATCCATTTCTTTCCTTCTTTTATGTTTTTCTTTTCTCTCTGTCACTCAGGCTGGAGTGCAATAGAGCAATCTCAGCTCACTGCAACACCTGCCTTCTGGATTTTTTTTTAGTGATTTAAGCGATTCTCCTGCCTCAGCCTCCCGAGTAGGTGAGATTACAGGCATGCACCACCACGCTCAGCTAATTTTTGTATTCTTAGTAGAGACAGGGTTTCACCATGTAGGCCAGGCTGGTCTCAAACTCCTGACTTCGTGATCTGCCCATCTTGGCCTCCCAAAGTGCTGGAATTACAGGCATGAGCCACCACACCCTGCCCGGTCCTTCCATTTTACTTATTTCAGCCAGTAAAAGCATTATTTTAATCAAAATTATGAGGTAAAAAATTAGTTATATTAGAACATGTCTAAGAGGTACCAAATTTCTCCTCATAAAATTTAGCAATAATCAGAAATCAACAACACAGGATATAGAACACAGGTGTTCATAGTCACAAATCTACACTACAAAAAGAGAAACTAATGTTTTCATGAATTTATATAACTCACCAATTACCTACCTTTTTTTGTGGAAATGTATTTGGTACAGCCAAAAAAAAAAAAAAAAAAATTTCCCCCTATTGTTTACTTTGGTGGCATTCTAAAAGCTAAGCCTTGAAATTGTTTGAAATCACCCAGCCATAAACACGCCTGAGAAATTGTCTAGACTGACTTTGAGAAATAAAAGTAAGAATTTTTGGGGCAGTTGTGGTGGCTTACGCCTGTAATCCCAGCACTTTGGAAGGGCGAGGCAGACAGATGACAGGGTCAGGAGATTGAGACCATCCTGGCCAACATGGTGAAACCCCGTCTCTAAAAAAAATACAAAAATTACCCAGGTGTGGTGGCAGGCATCTTTAATCCCACCTACTCAGGAGGCTGAGGGAGAATCGCTTGAACCCAGGAGGCACAGGTTGCAGTGAGCAGAGATCACACCGCTACACTTCAACCTGGGCAGCAAGAGTGAAACTCTGTCTCAAAACAAAAACAAACAAAATAAATAAATAATTTTAACAAATATATAATCACTTTTTTTTTCTGAAATCCACCTTTTTCCGCCCTTTACAAATATTTTCTTACCATTCAAATCATACTAATAGAATGCAATTTACAGTTCAAAAACTGGAGTCAAACTCAGCCAGGCACAGTGACTCACGCATAATCCCAGCATTTTAGGAGGCTGAGGCAGGTGGATCATGAGGTCAGGAGTTCCAGGCCAGCTCAGCCAGCACAGTGAAACTCTGTCTCTACTAAAAATACCAAAAATTAGCTGGGCACGGTGGGGCGCGACTGTAATGTCAGCTACTCAGGAGGCTGGGGCAGGATAATTGCTTGAACCAGGGAGGTACAGGTTACAGTGAGCCAAGATCACGCCACTGCACCAGCACGGGTGACAGAGACTCTGTCTCAAAAAAAAAAAACCAAAAAACAAAAAAACACAAAACATTGGAGTCGAATTACGTGAACAAATCTTTTCAGGATGGCAAACCTCGGGAGTGGCGATGCTGATTAGAAAACAGATGTGTCCGCCGGGTGCAGTGGCTCAAGCCTGTAATTCCAGCACTTTGGGAGGTCAAGGCGGGCAGATCACAAGGTCAGGAGTTCAAGACCAGCCTCGCCAATATGTTGAAACCTCGTCTCTACTAAAAATACAAAAATTAGCCAGGTGTGGTGGCAGGTGCCCATACTCCCAGCTACATGGGAGGCTGAGGCAGAATTACTTGAACCTGGGAAGCAGAGGTTGCAGTGAGATGAGATCATACCACTGCACTCCAGCCTAGGTAACAGACCAAGATTCTGTCTCAAAAAAAAAAAAAAAAAAAAGAAAGAAAGAAAACAGATGTGTGTGATATATGTGTGAAGTCACGTCATCCAATCACTTGAGAGATTTTCCCACCCAATCCTACTCACTTAAGTGCTCAATGGCCACCCTCTCAGGAGACACTGCCCTATGCCTCAAGTGACTGCCCCAAGTGCGTTTTACTTTGCACGCTGTTGCACCATCTCACTGGGGTCACTTTTGTTTTTCTTTTGGGATGCTATTTTTTTCTTTCACAAATCTTAGACAATTCAAAAAAACAAATTATTTCTGTGTTTTCCCGTCAATACCAGCAACTGATTGATGACCAGCAATGTGTCTCCAAGAAATGGAAGCTGGGTTGAGTGAAGATCAAGGGGTTAGCTTTTCAAAGGAAGAGTACACCAGGAGATTCTTCTCAGCCCCAGGGCATCCATCTACTCCTTGAGAGGCTACACTCCATACCTCATGTTGTCCTATGGGAGAAAATTACCCAGGAGATGATAGTCACTAGACACTCTAACAGACATAGCCATGGTGGGTATATTGGTTTATTCACAGAAAGTACTAAAACTGAGGACCAGGAAAAAAAACTAAAGGGTGGCTATGGATGCATCACCCCATAAAGTTTCCGAAAAAAAAAACCTCGACACAAAAATATTTCGAATCTTTGTGCCTAGGGAAAATTACAGGAAAAGAATCAAAAGATGGTTTACAATACAGTGTTAGGAGATGGTTCTTCACTTTGTTCTCATGAAAAATATTTTCAAAGAGAAAACCATTTTTTTAAGTGCCATATGCTTTGTCAAAAAATGATTAAAATATAGTATCTAAAACTTACAATAAAACAAAAATAGTTAATGTGAATTAAATAGGGAAAGCTGGCATTTGGGAATGTCAGAACTGGAAATTTATTATTTTACTGATAGTCATAGTTAGGCTAGAGAAATAGCAGGTAGGGGGTAGGCGCAAGACCATGCTTGGGACAGCTGTGAAAAATTAGGATAAAATTAGTCCTGTGGATGTAAAAATAACCAAGTGCCAGGCAATTAGACTGAGGTGGCTCTAGTCCCTGAAATCCTACTTTTAAAAAAATTTAACTCAAATGCATTTTTTTTTTTTTTTAAATTACTACATTGGGGAAAACAAATTCAGACTTAACCAACCATAAGCTGCCAATTAATTTCTCATTACATAACCAGGAAATTTCTACCTTAATCATACAAATTAAGCAGTGATGTAGTTAATCAATTATTTAATTTGGTTTTCTTTATCGTGTACTTTTAAATTATTTCCTTTGGCTGGGCGCGATGGTTGGTGCCTATAATCCCAGCACTTTGGGAGGCCCAGGCTGGTGGAGTGCCGGGTATCAGGCGTTTGAAACCAGCCTGACCAACACGGTGAAACCTCTTCTCTACTAAAAATACAAAATTAGCTGGGCCTGGTGGCGGGCGTCTGCAATCCCAACTACTTGGAAGGCTGAGGCAGGAAAATCGCTTGAACCTGGGAGGCAGAGGTTGCAGCGAGCCGAGATCCCGCCATTGCACTCCAGCCTGGGTGACAAGAGCGAAACTCCATCTCAAAAAAAAAAAACAAAAAAAAACGGTCTCTCATTCAAGCGTCTCTCATAAGCCACAAACTACGAAGCACAGTTGGGTGTGCAACAATCTCTGAATCATTCTTCGATTAAATTCTTTAATTTTGTACGGTGACTCCCATAAATTTTTAATAGGGGGAAAAAAAAAAAAGGAACTGGGAATTCAGGGACCAAAGCTCTTCCCATTCATGAACCCGCACCCAGAGTCAGGATTGTCCTGACCGGGCCCGTGGTCCCTGCACTAACTGGCCGAGACGGGGCTCTGCGGGTGCAGAACTGCCTAGAAAAGGCATTAGGCCAGGGCACAGACACAGCGCACGGCAGAGACAAGACTCCCGGAACCCGGCTGTTAGCTCGGCCGCCATATTATGGCTGAAGGGGAATGAAGTCGAACTGGGGAAGAACTCGGGGTGCAGACTGCGTAGCTGACTGCAGGGAGGCCTCAGTACCGCCACAGCCCCTCCCCCTCTCTCGGAATGTCGGACCCGAAACTCTCACCATTTCTAGGGTTCCAGGGGTTCCCGGCGTCTTAGCTGTGGATCTCCCAATACCTGCGGGTCACAGAGCCACAGAGGCTGGGCCTCTAGGAGCAGAGGACACAGAAATGAAGAGACCCGGAGCTTCGACTTCAACGAGAGACAAAGGCCCCCGCCATATCCCGGAAGCTGCCCTGTCCGCTCCAGCTGCGTGCCGGATTGGATGGTTCCCAGATCAGCGTCTCTTATTAGATAACGTTCAAGACCCCGCCCCCTCAGACCCGGAGTGACAGATGTGATCCGATGCGGGGATGAATGGAGTGACAGTCTAAGCTGCTACCTTTTCGGGCAGGGCTTTCTCCCCGAGCTGAGTCAGGCCCGCCTCAGAGGGTATATGCATTTATAAATAATATACTATATGGCTACTCACAAATAAAAATAATAATTATTTAAAAACTTCAGATTTTATGACTTTCCTGGCTTCTGGTCCTTTGAGCAGGCAGCCTGAGATTTTAAAAAGGAGGCAATCCTCTGAAAAAGCCACACATGACTTTTAAATTTTTTAGTAGCCAAACTTTAAAAACAAACAAGAAACAGGTGGAATTGTAACAACCCACTATATTCAAAATATTTTAATATGTGAGCAATATGTAATTATTAATAAAGTATATATATTTTTGGAACTAAATATTTAAAACTAACTCTGCATTCTACCTTTCTAGAAAACTGCAGTTTAGACCAGCCACATTCCGGGCACCCAGGAGCCACACATGGCCAATAGCTGCCACATTGAAGTGCAGCTCTGCTGTCAGGTAAGGGGAGGGCCTGAACATCTTTCTTTCTACCAGAGGTAAGGAACAGCTTCTCCCTACCAACATTTCTCGTCAGTGTTGAGGGTCGAACAGATAGTGGCCATAGAAAAGGCAGAAGACACTGGGAATAAAATAGCCACAGGTAGATCACTGCTGGCCACCTGTTGCCCACCTTCCTTCCAGAGATCAAGCAGGGAACAAAAAATGCTGGAGCCACAGAGGAGAAAACTGTCTTCAAATCTGTCCACAGTCTTGATCTTCATTGCTTATAGAAAAAATAGGTTAGGCCGGGCGCGGTGGCTCAAGCCTGTAATCCCAGCACTTTGGGAGGCCGAGGCGGGTGGATCACAAGGTCAAGAGATGGAGACCATCCTGGTCAACATGGTGAAACCCCGTCTCTACTAAAAATACAAAAAATTAGCTGGGCATGGTGGCGCGTGCCTGTAATCCCAGCTACTCAGGAGGCTGAGGCAGGAGAATTGCCTGAACCCAGGAGGCGGAGGTTGCGGTGAGCCGAGATCGCGCCATTGCACTCCAGCCTGGGTAACAAGAGTGAAACTCCGTCTCAAAAAAAAAAAAAAAAAAAAAAAAAAAAAAAAAAAAAAAAAAAAAAAAAAAAAAAAAAAAAAAAAAAAAAAAAAAAAAAAAAAAAAAAAAAAAAAAAAAAAAAAGAAAAAATAGGTTAGTTAGCCCGGGCGCGGTGGCTCATGCCTGTAATCCCAGAACTTTGGGAGGCTGAGGTGGGTGGATCACCTGAGGTCAGGAGTTTGAGACAAACCTAACCAACATGGCAAAATCCTGTCTCTACTAACAATACAAAAATTAGCTAGGCATGGCAGTGAGTGCCAGTAATCCCGCCTACTCAAGAGGCCGAGGCAGGAGAATCGCTTGAACCTAGAACTCGGAGGTTGCAGTGAGCCGAGATCACACCACTGCACTCCAGCCTGGGCAACAAAGCGAGATCTCGTCTTAAAAAAAATAAAATAGGTTAAAGGCAAATTTATATTGCTATTGTGTTTGGCCTTAATGATCAGTATGTGGTTATCTTTTATTTCCTGTGAATATAAGCACCAATCCTGAGATTGTCTTCTCAGGATTATGTGTTTAAGAAAAAAAAAACATGGTCCTAAACTATTTTAATAATTTAGGTTACTAAATTACTAAACACACACACACACACACACATTTAATTTATATTTAACTGATTATTTTATCTCTTCTGTGATTAGTATTGAAACGTGGCATTTTAAATAATGGAAGCTTTAAGAGCTCAGAAATGAACCAATGGCTGCTGGCATTCTGGTTTCTCCATGAGTTTACACTTAACATTAAATTTGTCATCTTAAATATTAGGTTTGTTTCTCCAGTTTAGGTGTATAACAGTAAGGGGTTATCGTAGGTAATTTGAGTTGGATCACAGAGGTTATTCAAATGACATATCTTTAAAAATTCATTACTGGCTTATTTAACATAGAAATGTTGCAGTATTTTCCTGAAGTTCAATTATTTTTTGTTTTGCCTTGGTTAGCAGTTTTGTAAGAGTCGCCATCTTCATTAAAATACAATTTTTACTCAGTCCAAATGGTTTGATCCTTAAATTATCAAAAACCTGTATTAAACTTGTCTGGGCCCTTATTTTTTTTATGAACCTCCTTATAGACACATTCCTCTAGGATTTTTTTAAGCTTTTGAAGTTTTTAGAAACTACATTAGAATTAAACCATTGACCAGCCAGGCTCAGTGTCTCACACCTGTAATCCTAGCACTTTGGGAGGCCGAGGTGGGTGGATCACCTGAGGTCAGAAGTTGAAGACTAGCCTGGCCAACATGGTAAAACCTCATCAATGCTAATAAGACAAAAATTATCTGGGCGTCTGGAGACTGAAGCATGAGAATTGCTTGAAACCATGAGACAGAGGTTGCAGTGAGCCAAGACTGTGACATTA